GAAGGGATTATTTTGTTTGTTTTGTGTGATTTTTGTTATTTTATGAATTTTTGGGATTAAAAATGATTATTGGATTCGGCAGGAACCTATTGAATGAATAAGAAAGAAATTAGGTGTGAATTTGTTTTGCATGATTGTTTTTATTCATTCAAAACGCATCATAATTTTTTTTTATTATTATTATCAACATGTAAGTTTACATAAAAAATGTTTGCACCATTTAAAAAAAAAATATTACATCAAAAATGTTCATCTTGTATTGTTTTTTTTTTAATTATAATTTGTATACCTTAATTTATATGCACCCGCACCAAAATCTAATATATAAAAATGAGGTGTGAAAGAGAAAAGCAGGAGAAGTAGAATAAAAGGTAGAAAAGCGAAATTGCAATGGTCAATATATTGGAGAAGTATACGAAATAACGTACGTACGTGGAAATGCGAAGAGTTCGTTAATTTATGATAAGAACACGCAAAGTCTTAACATTTAAACCAAAGAAAAAAAAACACGCAAAGTCTATACTCTTTTGGCAGCACCTCCAACGTGATCAAGCCGCAAAAATAATTTACTTAACATTTTTTTTTTTTTTAACTTACAAGAAAAAAAAAGAAAGTATACTACCGAAGTTCACGTAGTGTTGATAAAATCAATTTTATCATAAATCCGTAAAGTTCATTATGATTGGTGTTTGTCTATTTCTGCTTAAGTAGCTAAATTTCCTTACGAATCGTCTTCACAATATGATTATATTTATTAATGAATATATTCGTTTCAATAGAGAAATTATCTTAAGAAAAATAGAGTAATTATCTTGAAAGTATTTTTGGTATCTGACCATATTCCTTGGAAGAAAGGTAGAATTGAATTTCATGTACTGATAAGGACAAAGAATGTCAATGAGAAGGACAAGACCAAACAAGAAATTCGTGGACTGAGATGTGGAGACTTGGTCCAATCCGTTTGTTTTGTGTTTTGTTAATGAGTGGAAGACTTGACAACTCCTTGAAAAAAGGGAAACCATTCTCCACGTATTTGATTTTTTTTTTTTTGTTGTAGTTGTAGAAATTGAAATCATATTTTCTGTTTTGTTTCTCCTACTTAAGCCAAAGTAAAAAATCCGACGCATAATTAATCTGTCAAAAACAAAGTTATAATGTAGTGCAATGTGTTTCATTTTTTATTGAAAATAAAAAGCGGCAACCAAGTGGCTTGCTCTTATGTTCTTGGCAATATTGTGGATTCAAATTGGTAACTTGAAAAAAAAAAAACAGATTATGGTTAAAAAAAACGAGAAGCTGATAATGGCCACGGACTCATGGCTCACGTTGGCTATGCTGCCTATGCATCATGGTTTGTAGGGAGTGTGGACACGAGATCAATATGTGGCCAATTATTTTAATAAACGATTAGCTTCAGTTGCCAATAAATACCTTTTTTAAACGTTACACGATCTGTTTTTTTTTTTTTGGGCAACCACGACTCTAATTGGGGTTCCCCGAATTAATATACATTTTAATTTTGCGGTATATATATATATGATCAAAACCATAAATTT